GGTCAGGGAGAAAGACCAGGTCCTCCTGAGGACAGAGAAGGTCAGGGTTGAATTGAGGGTTTTGTTTTCTTCGTGTATAAGTACATATTGGTTTTGCTCCAGATGATCCAGAGGCAGCTGCAGCAGGTGGAGGAGAAACAGAGACAGCTGGAGGAGAGAGGAGTGATGGTGGAGAAAGCTCTGAGAGGAGAAGCAGGTACAAACACACAACATGTCCGTCTACTTCTTAAAGTTTAGTAAACCCGACGTATGTTTCTTACTAACTCACCTGTGTTTCAGATTATTGGGGAGACTCCAACGACAGCCAGGACATCGAGCTTCACCTGGAAGGTGAGTTCACCTCCTGACTGAGTATCAAGCAACACAGTGTACTGTAGTATATGAAGTATACTGAAGTATACTGTAATGTACTGTAGGGTACTGTAGTCTCTCTGTCTCTGTAGGACTAGATAACCTGTCTGTCTCTCTGTCTCTGTAGGACTGGGTAAACTGGATAATCCCGCTCTGATGCAGCAGTGGTTCCAGTTGGTCCAGCAGAAGAACTCTCTGGTTCGATATGAATCTGAACTCATGATATTGTGAGTATCTCACCTTTACATCCGGCAGCAGGTTCAGGTTTACCAGAACCTCCAGGATGTGGTTCATTCAGCAGGTTCAGGTTTACCAGAACCTCCAGGATGTGGTTCATTCAGCAGGTTCAGGTTTACCAGAACCTCCAGGGTGTGGTTCATTCAGCAGGTTCAGGTTTACCAGAACCTGCAGGATGTGGTTTATTAAGTAGATAGATTCGGGTTGACCAGGATGAATCAGGACTGTGTGGATCCTGGTGTCAGACTCTGGTCTCTGCTGTGTTTTAGTGCTCGAGAGTTGGAGTTGGAGGACCGACAGAGTCGCATGCAGCAGGAGCTCAGAGAGCGGATGGCCGTGGACGGTAACATCAAACCCAGCAGGAGTTTAATCACGTTTAATAATATGTAATATTTAGTGAATATTAATATCTCAGTGTGTGGTGGTTTTGTCCAGACCACCTGAAGGAGGAGTGGGAGCTGCTGGAGGAGCGTCTGATCCTGGAGGAGATGTTGGAGGTGGTGGAGCAGAGAGACTCTCTGGTGTCTCTGCTGGAGGAACAGAGACTGCAGCAACGACAGGAAGACCGGGACCTGGAGGAGGTCATCATGACCCGAGGACTGGGACTCAACTGGACCTGAACCTGGAAGGGTCTCTACAGTACCTGAACTGTTCTGAACTGGTTCAGTCTGACTTTATCAATGCAAAGGTTGATATGAAAACAGTTTAAGTTTGGTATTCTTTGGAGTTTTGGAGAATTTTGGACCCAGTTCAAAGTGGACTCATGAAAAATACCCAAACCAGATGTAATTAAACCAGTTATAGTAAACCAGGTCTGAGATAGACCCGAAGACAGTCAGCATCAGTCCACCATGAGCTCTCCAGTCTTCCTCTTCTCCTTCTCCTCCTTCTCCTTCTCCTTCTCCTCCTTCTTCTTATCCTTCTCCTTCTTCTCCTTCTCCTTCTCCTCCTTCTTCTTCTTCTTCTCCTTCTCCTCCTCCTTCTCCTTCTCCTCCTTCTCCTTCTCCTCCTTCTCCTTCTCCTTCTCCTCCTCCTTCTCCTCCTCCTCCTCCTTCTTCTCCTTCTCCTCCTCCTTCTCCTCCTCCTCCTCCTTCTCCTCCTTCTCCTTCTCCTCCTTCTCCTCCTCCTTCTCCTTCTCCTCCTCCTCCTTCTCCTTCTCCTTCTCCTCCTTCTCCTCCTCCTTCTCCTTCTTCTCCTTCTCCTCCTGTCTTCACTACATCCGTGTCTGCGTTGGTTCAGTGTTATGTTTCAATGCACAGTAACATGTTGTTATTAATCAGAGTGTAGCTGAGGAGAGTTATTCTTATGGATGATGTCATGGTGTTATGTTAATGGTAGAACGCACGGCTGCATGTACATGAACACGAGTGGAACACGAGTGGAACACGAGTGGAACACGAGTGGAACATCCATTGTTATCGGCCATGTAAACAACTTAAAGGACCAGAACATTCTGTGCAGGGAGACGTAGTCTGAGATGAAGTAGAGACGTAGTTCTACACACGAGAGCACAAGTCGGTAAGTTAAACTGCTTACATTAATACCTTTAACTAGTTCAGTGAGTAACTAGCTGTTGTACAGTAACATGTTGTTACTGTACAACATGTTTATTTAAATGATCACAGATGCAGTATTACAGGTTCAGTGTTGGTGTTTAGCAGCTGTACTGTTCAGACGTATTGATTATTGTGCCAAACACCTGTCGGTCTTATTTCACCTCAACTTGTCATATTATCAATAACTGTTTATTAATCCTGTTTAAAGTCATGCGACTGTTAACGTAACGATGTGTTAATCAAACAGCCTTCTGACTTCATAGCTTCTTGTTTAATAAAAGATTTCTTCTGATTTCTGTGGTTGTTTTGTTTTATACAAACTATTTGTGTTGGACCAGGTTCATCTGTCCATCAGTGTGAGACCTCTCCCGC